GCTTTGTCAATAATATATATATTATTGACAAAGCCAATTATTTAGAAGCCAATTCAAAAAAAGCATTAAATGTCTTGTTACAAATGGCAGAAAAGTGCAGGGGCTCACCTATGCGAGCACACATGGTTGATCTGAAGGGCTCTCTATTTAAAGGCCCATAAAGGGAGTGATAATGGCATAGGTTTATGAGGACTCAGCCCAGTGAGACAGGCTGTTACTGCCGCGGTTGCTGTTGTTGTTATTCCCACTGTTCCTCGATGGCCACTAAAGCGGAAAAATGGATCCCCACTTTGGGTTGAAATATGAAGCTAGGCTTATTCTCCCTCTCTTTCTCTTTTTGTGTGAAAGGCGCCCAGGCATTTGCCTGCATGGTTATGGAGTTAAATGCTCAGCTCCATGGCTGGGCTTCTGCACGGTTCCCCCCTCCATTTCATTCCCCCTGACAGGATTAGCAGGTCTCCAGTGTTAAAAATACATTAAGTGGACCTTTGCAGTCACTTATTATGGCTGATTATGCAGCTGGAATGAGGAAGGTAGGCTCTGTTTGTAGTTAAATAACTTCTCAGATGCTTTTTTTTTTACAGCAGCAATCTTCAAAGCATGAACGGGTCAGTGGCTCAGGCACAAAGCTGAGATTGATTTCCACCCTCCTACTCTTTGTTCCCGTGGTTTAAAGAGGACAGGTTCTACTAAATTAGCTTGCCCGTGTTATTAATGGAATAGCCAATTAAACTCCCATACTGTGGTGTCATGGCAAAACAATGCCGCCGCACAGCCTTCCCACAGCAGTGGTTTGTACAGCAGGGTTAATGAAATGGTTAACTTATGCTGATGTATAGATAGGATTAGGCTCCATCTGGGCAGCGCGCCACAGAGTCCCAACAGCTGCCCATCCGCAGAGTGATGCATTCTAGGATCTTCTCAGGTCCAGGCGATATATACGAAGGAGAATCGACATCACCCGGGACTGCAAACGTGCCGAATGTTGACTCCTCTTATTTTGACAGGTGGGACAAAACAATCTGAGAGTTTTGAGCTAAAACAAGTGGACAATTCAGCGGGGTCTGAGAATAGTTTCCACAAAATCAGCAGAGAAAGTGAGATTGACAGGGAGGGAAAGGGAAAAAGAAACATCATCAGGAAAGTCTACCAAACAGTGAGAAGATATGTGTGCATGAGGAAACTGGAGGTTGGGTGTTTAGGTGGGTACAGAGGCTGGCTTACTGTCAGCTGCATCAGTGCTCACATTGTCACAAAATTAGAGAAAATTCATTGTGGCTCCAACAATTAAACCCAATCCCATGTTCTTCCTACTGACTTAGTTATTTTCTGTAACACAGCAACATTTGCCGTTTTGTTATTCATTCATTATCTCTGACAATGTAAATGACTCATCACATTTAAAATGGCTCCCTAAGGTGAACAGAAATCATGGGCATTTAGGTTACAGCCCAGTTTCGTTGGCTTGAAAATCCCAGTTAGCGTATAAGGAGCAGAGGGAAAATTAGTCTTCCTAGCTTGATGGCTGTTATACTTGGCCATTTCCTGACCCACTGTGAATAAACTCCAATTTATGGCAATTATCCATATTAAAGACAGCACCCATACAAATTAGCAATAATGCCAGAGGTGATGAGAATGTGCGAGCTGAAGTTGCTATTATCATATCCTTCAGCTCGAATACCTCACGTGCACAGCAGATCGCTAAAAATGACTACACGTGTTATCTATAAGGCAAGTAATGCTAAAGCTAAATTGATAATACTTCTATTTATGCCCTCCAGAGAAGCAGGGTATTTGTGGCAACAGTGAGGGTAAGAGAGGGCCTTTCCCCCCAGAACAGCTGACACAAGTGATCCGTTATTTCTTGGAGGGGAGGTCAGGCATATGGGGCCTCCACACATCACACACCTCAGGCCATGACCACTCAGCAACGCCCTCCCCATCCCTGGCCTCGGCCCTGTCACATCTGGCCCCAAAGACCCGGGACGTTTTCTTTCCCCTGTTCAAAATGCACCAGTGGTTCCCATTTAACACCTGTTCGCCCTAATTTCCATTTTCGGGGACGTTGTGGATTTCAAATCATTTATCACTTCCCAAAGTGCTTCCACATGTGCGCTGCCTTTCCCAGCGCGCGGGGTTCCTGCCTCCGGCCAACCTTTTCCAAATGTATTAAAATTCAGTTTGGTCCAAAGAAGTTCAGACACTGATGTTTCATTGTGGTGATGTCTGGTAATTATTAGTCTAAATTACGGCTCTGGCATGTGACTTGACAGGGTGGACTCCATGTTTAAAAGGGGAGATGGGGCAAGGAGGTAGGGCCAAGGTGGTCTGTCACGCTTTGTGCACTTTTATAACTGTGTTCCCCAACACTAGGATGTCAGTCAGACTGAAACAGTTTCGCCACCGTGGAAACACTTGTGTGGTTAGGGACCTGAGAGGGTCCACCGGGGCCCAGTGTGGGGCAGCTGGGTGAAGGCTGTGTCAAAAGCACTCCACTGTGAGGGGAAGACTCCCACATTGAGCTCTGATGAACACTGAATACGAACTGCAGTCCAGTTGATATTCAAGGTCAGAGTTCATATTGTGAAACCAGGATTAGATCTCAAAGTGGAAAACGATTTGAATGAAAGTGAAATCAGATTATGTCTCGGGGCTCTTTGGTCAACAGTCCCCAAGCCTCAGCAGCAGACCAACAGTGTGTGATTGGCTTTGACAAAATGGGAAATATTGATTTAAATCTGTAACATATAGATATGTTTTTCATTGTCAAGTTGACACTTTAAAACAACAAATTTAAAGTTTGGGAATGCATTCACATCCCAACATATGTAATGAGTTTAAGCTCAGACAAAAAAGTTTTTTAAAAAAGGGGAAAAAGAAAAATCACAATTGCAGAAAAAACTGTAGCCAACTTATTGTGTTGTCATCATATTAAATAATAACCCAAACTCGTGGTAGGTAATGAGAACCTTATCATCACCACATTTTTCATGTTCAAGGGCATGTTCTACAGAAGTGGGTAAAAAAAAGATATTTCCACAAACACACACAGAAAGAAATTTCTTCAAATTTAATCTAATTAAAAAAGGAATTTGCAACATTTGTGTTTACAAAGTAAGTTATTTGACGTGCTAAGCTCCATCTTCAAGTGGCAAATGTTTGAAACTGTACTGTAAGTGTGCTTAATTAAAGTGGGCTGTGAAAATGTGCACTAATCAGATATGGTTGGTAACAAAGTCCATGAAATTACTAATTAGAATTTCATTAAAAGGTACTGCTTTATCATCTGAGGAAATCGTAACCTTTAAAACGCTTTCAGGAAGGCAGTATGCCTCTTTAAATGGGCTAAAAGAGAGAAACGGCTGGCTTTTGATGTAATATCTCATTTAGGATTTGAGCTAAATTGGACCATTTAAACATGTCATTGTTTTGGACGTAATTTATCAGACTAATTAATGACAGTTATTGCCTGGGTTGGGTGGCTGACAGAACACCAGGCTCCTGCAGGAAGAGATCACAAAGAAAGACGTTTAGCTTGGATGAAAACACGCCATTAGGAAGCATCTGCCAAGAATGAGAGCCACCCCTTTTTGATTTCTCGTTCTGTTAGACTACCTCAGATGATTAACAATCGCATTTCAAAGTGTCGTGGAGAATACATAAGACATACAGTTTATTTTAATCCATGTGTGTGATTTTTTTTCATGTCTAAGAGGCGAAAATTCCAGCTCATAAACATTCAAAGCTTAATGCAACAAATACTACATTTTGCATCCCATCCTGTTAAGTAGTTTAAAGTTGGCATCCTATGGACAGTATAGTGTGTCGTCCATGTGACTGACTGCCTGATTACTATTCCTCCCATCAGCTGGTCAGGATGGGCTGTGTTAGTTGAAGGGATCATATGTCAGCACTCAGGCCTGTTTATCTGAGGGACAGAGGCACTGGAAGAAAAGACAATCTGTTCTTTTACTAATGACTGCCTGATTTAAGCACCACAGAGTTTCTTTTCTACACTGGCTCACAAGAACGGAGAATATCAGGCAAACTGTCGACATTGAATAGATATGTGTAGAAAGCTGATTAGTTGATAGTTCACTCCGGTAACAGCCATGAGTCAGAGGTGAGTATGGGTGAAAAGTGAAAAGTAATACTGTAGGTTTCCCTTGTGTCATGCCCTCTGCAGAGGTGCTGGCCTGCGGCAGATGTTGCAGAAGGAAAGCTGCTAGAGCAGAGAGGTGCATTATGGGGCCAACATTGTCAGTAACTGGATGAAGCTTCAGTCTGATTTTACATTCTAACCAAGTTAAAATGAATTCAGGAAACTAATCGAGCCCTACTAAAAACTGGGGACTCAATCAAATGCAAGGCTCCCATTAACTTAACTGCCAGTGTGGTGCAACACAAGGCATGTCGGGAATGCAGCTGTTTAATTTGCCCCGCAGGCTTCATAAACCTTTGCCTTTGAAATACCAACCATGGTGGCAACATTCTGTCCTACCGTCTACATGTGTAAACATGAAAAGTGTTTCTCATGCAATACAAATTCTCACATGATGAGCAATGGGATGGAAATGCAAAGGTTTGAGAATGGAAATGGCAAGAAAAATACACATTTTATTTTTTACTTATGGAATCATGTTTACAATAAATATTAATCAAATTGGCTTCTAAAATTAAAATGAGCGGAACACTCAATTGATTAGCACAGACACTTTAGCTGATTGTGGTCGATGCCTGAGGCCGATTGATGTCGTTAGTTTGATTTGTGGCACACACTTGATCCTCAAGTGGAAACTAATTTGCACCTTTGCACGGGTGACACTTAGGCATTAGCTTGTGAGTGTGTCAGTACCTGTAATTAAAGCAGATGGTCAAATAACCCTGTCAGGCCTGTTAACAAACCAGGGCCTCCACATGATCTTAATTCCCTGCCCGTTTGCAGAGACACGCTGTGCCTCGGCCAATTCCCCCTGCACATTGTTACAGAGGAACTGTTTTTTCACTCGGTTTGGACTTTATTAAAGCTGTGGTTACAATTAAGGCATACAACAAATAGACTTGGTTAAGGACATCAAAGAGGATGTTTAGGCGACAGTCTCTGTGACATGCCAGATATGACCTCAAATGACTTGAAATGAAGACTCTTAATACCAAGCCGTTTAATCTCCACAGCACAGGTACTCGTGTTTGAATGACCTTCAATCAGCCCTCGAAAAGTAAGGACTATTTCCTCAATAATTATTTTTTTTTATCCTGAAAGCAAAAAAAGTAAGAAAAATAATAATAATAAATAAAAAGAACAAATACACTATGGGAGGTCACTAAATTAAAGCTGTGACAGATCTGTAAGTTTGGGCTTATACTTGAAAATAACCCGGTGAGATTCCTATTAAGCCATTTTCTCTAAACTAGTTCCAAATTTTTGTTCCTTCACCCTTAAATTGTGAGATGTGTTTAAAAGCACCACACTGAGATATGTGCTAAATACCAGCTGAGCAAAAAAAAAAAGAAATAAATAAAAAATCCCCATATCTGTCATTAAACGGATCATAGAGTATAATCATCGTTTTACAATTGGAACAACTGCTGTAATAGCGCATTCAGCAGTCCTGTGCAGTCACTATACTTTCTGACATGATACTACAGCACATAATGCAGCCTGTAATTATCTGTTTCCTGAAGGTGGAGGGCGTAAAACTGCCATGAGCTCCTCTGTGCCTTTCATAAAACGCTTTTCTCCTCTTTGGCAATCACTCACCCAGACTGACTCACTGGGCTTCGACAAGGAACTTAAGCAGGTTCACACCAGGAGGGGCAGTAGTACAGCAGCCATCTGGTTGGGAGAACAAAGACCAGTTAAATATAGTTCACACCTACACACGACTTACTGTACTAACCTGTATTTCTTAACTTCATTTAAGCTTCCTGCCATGATTTTAATTCTGTCTGACTGGACTGCCATCAGGCTCCAATCGAGCAATCGTAATTTAGTTTAGCCCAGGCTTCTATATCAGGCCTTAACATGGCCCTCCGTCATGAAAATCCACTGTGAACAGCCAGGAATACATGATACTCATATCTTTTAACAGCGTGAGATTAAAGAAGCTAAATAAACATAATCAACACAGGCGATAGGGTTGTTGGCCACTGCCTTATCTAAAAATAGTCTCTTGTGAGACGTCATCAGCCTGTTACTCAGATTGGTGGAGGTATTGAAGAGCTTTCTTAATGATACAGCAAACGGAGGCAGGGAGGGAGGGAGTGTGTGAATGTGTGTGTGTGTGTGTGTGTGTGTGTGCGGGTGCTAGTGGTGGTGGAGGTAGAGCAGGAGGAAGAGAAGGAGAGGGTAAAAAACATTAATTATTAGCCCCAGTGGGATCTCTTATATTCTGTCTAGCCTGGACAACACCAATTAATACAGCAATTATTATCCTGGCCCGTAGCACAGGGTTGACTAAGCTGGCTTGCCTTCTGACGATTATGGCGTGAGGGGAAGCAGCAGAAGAGAGGCATGCTGGAGCGAGATTATTCATCTCACACTAAACCCCTGCTTTTATGATGCATGGGTGATGGGGGAGATAGCCAAAAGAGCCAAAGAGTAATTTAGTCTGCACATTTCAACTCGGCATTACTGTAACACAATCTGCCTATAGATTAATTTCTGTTGGGTGTCATCTTTAGGAGTGTAGGGGAGCACCAATTCGATAAAGAATGAACCGTGCAGACATTTCCTCATATTTTGCCCTGCTCTGGAGTAACAAGCAGGCCTGAAGCTGTACTTTAAGTCTGAGACCCTCTAGATCCAGTGTGACAGTTGCACAGTTTACAGTATTACTCCTGTTCTTATAGCCCAGAGGTCTTATTCTAGGCCGTGACCCAGCCCTGCACTGCATTCATTTCTTAAACATTGTCTTCTCCCCTCCCCTCTCTTGGCCCTGATTCCTAAGCAGTGGACGCAGATGTAAGCAATAGCTCCACCTAGTTTCTGCAGCGCTGCTCTCCCCCATGCACTCCTTTTGAGAGCAGCACAGATGTCTGAATGGGGCTCGGATGAGAGAAGATCTGCCGTTTCAAATAAAATACTGCTCCCATATTATCCCCCTACTCCAGTCAAATTATCCACTGTGCTGTATTCTTCCTCATCATTTTTTTGGACAGGAGAGCTCTCTGTCTCTCTTGTTCTATTTTTGCGCTTCCCCATCCTCGTCCATGCTCTCCTGCAGTGACAGCCCTTGCAGGAGCGTCTTAAGCACATATGCCCCCTTTTCCCCGCAGCCACTGTAAAATCTGTGCTGACAGCCAATGAAAACAACACGGATGCTTGCATGTTATCTTGACATGGCCATGTTAAGCTTCGCTCTCGTGATGCTAAATGGTCGTCATAAACCTTTTAAGATCTGCGCGGCCTAATATGGACTTTTATAAAAGCATTATGCTGCGTAATATGTTTAGGTTCAGCTGGGACATACATTAGGCAGCCACCGCTTGCTGTCACAGAGCTCAAAAGTCAGGCACTTTATCAAAACAATGTGTAAGCTGTATTCACAAAGAAGCAGCAAGGTGTTCACATAGATGCATATTCTATCCCCTGAATGTACCATTTTTCATGTTATAGCAGATTTTAATTTGGAAGACTTTTATATATTTAAAAATAATAGTGTTGATGTGGATTTTTTTATGTTCCAAAATAATGTGCCTCTGTCTCCTGCTCTCTAATCTATCTCCGCTTTTCAATGACATCGATTGACAAAACAATTACAGTCTGCAGGATCTAGCCTAACAAGCCCTTGGAGTACTAAGAATGATTAGATGGCGGGTATTACATGAGGAACCCATCTTTGGATTAGTGATGAACACAATAAATTCTGAAATAAGTGGAGGAATATGTACATCCCTTTCATGGAAGACGCTTAGGTGATTGCTGCCACGAGAGGATTTGTCAGCATAACACAGGATCTCAAACAATAATGTGTGTGTGATAGGACACCATGAACACACTATGAACACATTCATAGCCGAATTCCCTGCCTGTTGTGTAAATGGATTTCTCCTCCATGAAACCGAGCGAAGGGCCAGAAAGAATTCTGCTCGGTTTCATCATCATTTAGCTGAAATACATCAAACATCCTTACCATCGTCGTCATCAAAAAGAGAAAGGAGCATTCATTTCTAAGTAAAATCCAGGCAAATGTTTGCATCCAACAGATCACAGGTTTTAGTTAGTAATTGGTACATGTTCTTTTCAGCAGGACCGTCATTTATTTACAGGGGTGTTGTGTTGCGCCTCAGTACAGAAAACCGGCCAGGCCTCAAAGAGGAGGCGCTGTCATTGTCACTGCGAGGTGTAGGATAACAGCTCTTGAGCAGGTTGTAATTAGAGTGGCTGAGGTGTAATGAGGGTGCAAGATTCCTGCTCCTGCAGCCGATGCCAAACTGGATCGGGGTGCCAATGGCACACCGTTGAGTGGCATCCCAGCCAGAGTGGGGTTGCCACCTCGCTGTCTCTACCTGTGACTTGGAACAGCACAGTGGACACCTGACAGGAAGCTGCATCATATCAGAGGGGGCTTGGATTCAAGTTGCTGAATATTTTCACAACAGTTTATCAGCTGGACTGGGGAGGTTCCCAACAGGTGGTAATGATAATAATAATAATAATAATGATCCAGAGGAATAGGAATATAGTTATTAAAGTGATTCTCAAGCGGTGAAGAGAGGCAGTGCTTTGGCTCAAAAGCTGTGTAAAACGTGAAAGAATTTGTGGTTTACTGATTGACTAGTAAATGAAAATATTTGTTCATCCTGGGTGTTGTTTGAAAACACAACATTTTCTGGCCAACTCCTCTTTTCCTATGGTCACACTTTAACTTGTTCACAAGACGTGTACAGTACTACTCCCAACACACACACACACACACACACACACACACACACACACACACACACACACGCCTCGTTTTGCACTCTTGGCAAAATGAAAACTTCTGTCAGAGTCAGATTGAAATTTATATCAGTTTGTCAGGCGCAAGCCAAAAATGATCTTACTGCACATTATTTTGATAAGTTTGGTGCCAGAGATAGAGAAGAAACGGAGGAACGAGGGAGGAAAGTACCCCACACTCCACACACCAGATAAGTGCAGAAGCCAAGATTCCCCTCACTGCTCCATCCAGTAAATGCTCAACCTGACCCTAAAAAAAAAACTTTAGGTAGAGATGCCTCTTTGCATAATATTCAACCCCCAACTATACTCTCTAAACTGCACACAATCTCCACAGGGAAGAAACAGCATCAATCACTCCCAACATTTTCAAAAACAAGCCAGCTGCACAGTTGGGTGTGTTTATTCACCACTTAAACAGGGAAGCACTTTTCTTTTTTTTTTTTCATCATCATGTGTTGGTTCTGTACACTACTATATATGTGTTTGTGTGTGTGTCTCCTTATATCACTAGCTGTGATGTGCCAGGAGTTTGTCAAAGTACAAACTAACTGCTACAACCGTACGTGATTGAACTTTTAAATTAGTTTGTGAGCAGTTCTCCATCTGACACTTTGGAGACAACACATCTGAGGAATCGTAATGAGACGGGGGGGGGGGGACTGTTATGTCAATAAAGTGTTGACATATAATTTTCTTTCCTTGTTCATTTATTTTCTTACTGAAGAAAAATCCTTTATCTGTGGCTGAACCACCACCATGAAATTCTTTTCTTGACTGTGTGTGGAGTCAACCACAGAGTAACACAGTTACACCATGTCAGAGCTGCAGCATAGAGCAATGCGACTCATTACCGTTCTGCTAGAGAACATAACCACAATAAAACCACCCCTTACCACCAGGGCAGGCGGCGGGGGCAGCCACTGTATGTGTGTCCGGCCCCAAGGGTGAAAGGAGTGGGTGAGCTGTGGTTACGCGACTGGGTCAAGTCAGGGTTGACTTTTAGTGTTCTCCATGTTGTAGAATATGAAATACTGTTACAATGAAAATGATGATAATTCATAATGTATTTATTCCTTACTGTACTTTTACTGGGTGAGACCCTTTTTTAAATAGCTAATTATATTCATGGATGTAGCTACAACAACAGTTTATTCCAGCATCTGTCTGGAATAAACTAGAGCTGAGGAGTCTGCAATTTGGTGAGCCAGTCAGGGACCGGCATTTTCCCGAAGTCCTGTCGGGCTAGTGGGAGCAGACCCCCACAGGCCATAAACTCCATAATGTAGGCCATCACAGCAGCTAGCCCGTGTAAGTCCGACTTCTGAGGGGCTTCCAAAATACCATGGCAGCGCTTTCATTTCCCCACCACTTGCCAGGCAGCCACAAGAATGTCAATATCAATGAAAGAATGTCTCGGGAAAATGTCGAGAGGATTAATCAACACCTGTACTCCTTGGATATGGATTTACAAATGGCAATGGCTCTAGACTAAAAGACAAAGCAAGACCCCTGCATTCATCATTCTTTGCATTCATGGTATTGTGAGTTTGTTCTAACAGGCAGACTAAAACCTGAAAAATTTATTTGTTGTTTCTCTGGAGATCCGTCCTTATACAGTAAGGTTGACACATTGAGTGGACACTGTGACAAGGTCTGTGAATGATGGTAAATGCATAAACACAAGTTTGTGATTACTATAAGAATCGATTAAAATACTTACATATCGGTGTTGCCACGTGCCGGTTGCAAATGTGCAGCGGTGAAAGTATTTGGATCCTTAAGTAAAATACCACAGTGTAAAAATGATTACAGGTGAAGTTCCTGCATTCAAAATATTATGTTGTTTATGTAAAAACAAGCATTATCAATAAAATGTACTTAATATATCC